CTATTAGCGAGACAAAATAATTTGTTGTGGTCCACTGCTAACAAGATCTGGGTGTCCATTTACTTCTGAGCTCTATCTGATTTGATCATACAAGTAAAATTTCATGAAAGTTGCTATGACTTTGTGCCTTTAAGAACACTAGTCAAATTTTTCAAAGTGCCATAATTTTACCAAATTTGCTGCAAAGTGTGATGTCAGTCTGCATAAGAGAATATGCTCAGGGTATATCTCATAACCAGAGTTCATTCAATTCACAAAAACATTTTGGATGATGAGATGATGGATGTGTACAAACACAAACCATCTCTAATTAATGATAGCATGCTGCACATAATTCTGCAATTCTGCAAGATGGAGAGAACACTTACACAGCACCATATATTAAACCTAAGAAAGCAAGCTTAAAACACCACAATCATCAACAATGTCTTGTACACTGAACCCTTAGTGATAACAATGTCACAGTGACTTTACAGTAGGCATCAAAATAAACCCCTTCCCTTGCAACATTATAATATTTCTAGGAATAGTTTGTTACAACTTTATCTTAAATTGTTGGTAATTATTGACACTCATTAGCATCTCAAAAGTCTACACTATTTGATGAGGATGCTAAAAGTTGAATAAAAATGTAGGTTAGAGTTCAAAATAATAATTCACTGTATATGTTCAAATAGAATTCTTTCACTTAAAATCTGATTTTATTTTTAATCCAAATCCATACCAACCATTTATTTTCATCAACTAACGGTTTTTGAATCTGAGCGTTTTTTACTTCTCTATTTACATGCATACCTTGTGAGAATGAATGGCTTGTGGGGATTATAAGCGTCAAAGATAGAGAACAATCATAGCTTCAGCTTACAAATTATTTCATTGAAGGAAATAAACAAAATTACCATGGTTGATGTTTAACTGAATACAAAAATGCGATGAAAATGAGCGACAAATTGCGTAAAACTTGTCCTGTGTTCGGCATCATCTGAGTGGTCCAACAGTTCGCAACTTTAAGTAACATATTCAATACTCACGCTGATGACTGTTGGACGCTGGTCCATGACTGTTTAACACTTTTTGAAAATTGGTTCATGGGTGTGAGTCCCAGCTTTCTTTTTATTTCACCAACTCTATTTTCTTTGGCATGCAACACCTGCTTCAAAGTCGATATTTCTTCTTCAGTCTATAAAAAAAAAAAAACGAGCTGCCTAAGTACTTTATGTTGATAAAACTGGAACTGTACATGTATGCATCCTTATTCTCATGTTGAAGGATAACAGTCAGGATAGTAGTTTTCAAAAAGAAATCAAATACATAGTTGTTAACAGATGATACACTCACTACTGGTAATAAGATATAGAATGTACCAGGACTGATTATGTAGGCATTTAGAGTCAAAATGGAATCCAACAAATCAAGTTGAGTCAATTTGTTGATAGCTGGGGAGAAAAGTCTTTGAAGAAAATTAGAATTGTATGTGACTGAGTTAAATTGGTGCAAAGTCCATGACTGCGTCACATACTCATAGTTTTCACTGCTACAAAATTCTCTCAAATAATGAAAACTTTGTATGCATTACAGTGCACAATACAAATACAGTCGGAGCGTAACTTAAGATTTAATTATCATAAATTTAAACTGGCTTAAATTTAGATTACTTGATTTTAAAATCACCATATATTCCCTATTCCCTGTTTGTATTGTATGGTACTGCATGACAAACCAAGGCAATAAGGCTCCATAGAAGTACAATCACTATATGGCTGCCAGTCAGCAAATTATTTTAGATTTGATGGTTGAACATACATGTACATGTGCGAAGGTCTGATATGATGCCTAATGTACGAGGTTTACATTTGATCGGTCCAGACATGTTGAATTGCATTATTAAAAAAAAAATAGGTGCTAGTATCAATTTCTCGGAACAACTCTAGCTTATGATACAAGAGTGCAAAAATGAATCCATCTTAAGATTATTCGGCTAATTTAGTTCAAATAATATAAATTCGTATTACCTTATTAAGTTCAATACGAAGTGCTTCCTTCTCTTCCTCATCATGTACTAACTCGGGATCCGTATATAACGTATCGTCTCCGCTACCACTTGTAGGTGATGCTGTATTGTCATACAACGGCTGTGTTTCAGTTGGAGCATCATACAATGGTTCTAAAATAAAAACAACATTTTATACTAATCAATAAGAAATCAGAATTGGCAGATCTTCACCACAATATTACAAGCACTGGTTGAACATTTATATCTGTAATTGTGATCCAGATATGATATACCGGTATAGTCACATGACCATATGTAGACATTAAATATGTTGATAAGAATTAGTGGGCAATGTCTTCAATATAGCAATAGTGATCCTGATATGTATGCATGGATGTACAAACAGAAGCTGGTAACTCATATATCTCCACCGAGGCCGACAACGAATATGTTAGTGAATACATGTAGTTTATGAATGAAGAAAAACTACTGTAGTTATCAACCACAGTCACAAGATATTGTTTTGTGAGGACAATAGGTATCCACTGAAATAGAACAATACTCCAGTTGACTCTGTATGTTATGAGAAAATGAAAAAAATGTTTTCTATTTAAATTCAGACACATTGTAAATATTCTTTTTTTTTTACAGTACAGTCTGAGCTGGTTTTGATTGTTAATAAAATTTACAATTATAAGTAAGCAACTATCTTTGTCAACAATACATTCAAGTTATTGTTTCTATATTAATACATATTTACTATTTACAAGGCATATTTAGGCAGGTTACATTTAAGATATATGGTGGTTTTATTAAACCAGCTAAATGGTATATGCTCAGAATGTACTGTACATGTAGTATAATTGATATCAAGATTCATGTGAGGTTAACAGCTGTACTACTCTCAATGCATGTACCTCTCAATGCATGTACCTCTCAATGCATGTACCTCTCAATGCATGTACCTCTCAATGCATGTACTACCCTGTAACATCTACATGTATATAAAACTATTGTTAATCTACAAATGTAGAATTCTGTTCAACCACTTCCCCTTGGTGTCATTTTGGTAACATAACTTTGATTGAATGAATGAAAACAACATTGACAAGTTATTTTTTTCCATGACAAATATATGGTGTAGCATATACTGGTAAAATATATGGTGTAGCATATACTGGTAAAATATGCTAAATACTGCTATAAAAGTCAACAAATAAATTGAAGGGCTTGCAATTATGGAGATATTCAAGGTGATGGCCTCGATGTCAAAGAGCTTACCTTTGTGACAATAAGAAAATATATAGTTATTTATTATAGTTATTTTTTACAGGATTCCTATTTTTGCTTGGTTTAAAAAACTGGTGTCCTTTAAACTCTGAATCTTTAAATATAGAATACATGAATTAACTACCAATGAATGCAAATGATTGTGTGTTTGAAATTATATTTTCAGATAGAAGTATTTATCCATCCATCCACAATCCACATATTATAGTCCAAATTGAACTATAAAAGCATTTGACAGATTACAATAGAAATATATGAATTTTTTGAATGACCTGACAAGGAAGTCAGGACAACTAGGGCAATGCCTGTTGAAGCTTTTGTGTAAGTATATGGTCCATGTGCTTTGTCAACCACCTTGCTTGTCAATTTAGGCTTGCATGAATAGTACAATGCATCTATTGATTCAGATGGCTCAAAATTAAAATGTACAAAATTGTATGAAAAAAACAACAACCTGTTTGCTTGTACTCAAATCACCAGTCAGTTGTATGCCACCTAGACACCATGTGAATTAACACGTATGTGCAAATGACTCCACAGAGGTGGTATTTATCTGTATATATATCATATATATTCAATAAAGATATGCATATACACTATACGATGAAATCCCACACAAATCAAAATTTATTTTGAAAACAAAAGCAAATCTACATGCAGTTTCATGACTTGAAACAATTTAATGACCTGGTAGTTATATAAGAATGCACAGATCAATTATTTGACTGTCCACCCACTGTCATGGAAATTAATTAAAAGTAGAATGACATCATCAAACGTGATGGCTTAATACCTGATATGACTTCAGTGTGAGAGTTGTCAGCAAGGCTGTCCAAGTAAGCTAAGTAACTCTCTGAGTTAGTCAGTGTTGTTGTCTGATCCAAATTCATATCTGTAAACTTATCGTTGTCCGCACTCACATCATATAGACTAATTTCATCAGCTGGTGATAAAACCGATAAGCTACTTGCAACATTGGTTACTGAATAACCTTGATGTCCATTCATATGCATCTTGCTAACATACGTAGGACACACACATAGCGGGATACTTGTACTGCGCCATTTTTGGGCAGTCAAAATATGACGCACGCTAAATTTCAATGACTAACAAAGAGAAGTTTACAACGGTTTATAAATTCTTATACTGATTAACACTGAATATATAAAGGGACAAACCAATGAATAATAGAGGCCTGGGGGGGGGGGGGTTAAGGTAAGACAGCTAAGTCTTACAACAGCAGTGAATCATAACTCAAGTTAGTGACTGAATTACTGTGGTGGACTTTAATGTATACATACATGTACCAGTCAATTATACCCCGTACCTCTACATGTATGTACCTAATATATATTGACATAGATGGGCTACACATGAACAAGATGGAATTAACAATCATGATGCGTAAAGAGTAATTATAACTTAGAACAACTACAAGTCTTCATGGAGAAATGGTAAATATATTGGTGTTAGCATGCAATATATTAATCAAGGAAAGCTTAAAAAAAACTGAGAGAGTATTGACATATTGAAAATTTACCCAAATTTTAAAATTAGCCTTTCAAACAAGAAGCTTGGCAACTAATATTTGTTATTTGAGATGCACAACATGTAAACAATGGGATTCACATGATTATATTACTTAAATTTGATTGTACATTTGTGGTTTTCAGTCTAATTTATTCCAGAGCAATTCCACTACAAGTTCATTTTAATTTTTTTATCAGATATCAGAAATTGCATAATAATTAGATAATTAATATGCATGTTTGTGCCACTTTTCCTTGAAATGTGATTAAAACTTGAGATATCGATGACAAAGATGAAAAATTATTATGCAAATTAGGTATTTAATATGCACAGATTTAACCCAAAACAAATTTGGTCTGTGCATAGTCATAGTGCGTCTATGCACCAAGTTTTATTAAAATGAAATAATTAGTATTTGAAATTTCAGCGAAAAAGTAATTAATACACATGGATTTTTACCCAAAAGTTTCATCAAAATCCAATGAGTGGTTCTTTAGGATATCAGAACAGCTAAAACTTAGCTAATTATCATGCATGAATTTCAAACAAAACCTAATCAAATCTGCTAATTAGCCTAGAGCATTTACGCATCAAGTTTCATCAAAAACCAACATACCGGTAGGGTTCTTGAGATATCAGTGGATACACACAGGCATACACATACAGACAGACAGACAGACACACCAACTGTAAAGACTCCCATTGACACAGGAGTCAAAAACAGAATAACTGCAAATCATTACACACTGTACATGTATGTACTGGTACTGATATAACAATTGTTTCATTTCAGAGTGGGTCACTCAATAAAATCTGGAATTCTGTGATTTATTGTTGGTTATATATTGCATAACCGTCAGCTTGCATTACTGTGAAAAAAAATCGTCATTTTTGTAATGAAACCAAAAAGAGTGGGCTAAAACATGTTTCTTAACTTTCACCTTTTTTGCATGCACATCTACGATCGTATCTGACCACAAATTGTAATAGCATGAGATAAAACAATCTAGACCTTATTACATGGTAGCCAATGACAACCAATTACTTTGTTGACATTCTAAGAACCGCCTAAGATTATACCTCGCTAGAAGTACATGTAAAGTATCTACATTCATATATTTCCAATAGAACAATACAAACTACGGATCAATTTACAGTGTTACGACTTCACTATTCTATTGTCTTGCATGCACTCAACAACATTTTTATACCTCGCTAGAAGTACATGTAAAGTATCTACATTCATATATTTCCAATAGAACAATACAAACTACGGATCAATTTACAGTGTTACGACTTCACTATTCTATTGCCTTGCATGCACTCAACAACATTTTTATACCTCGCTAGAAGTACATGTAAAGTATCTACATTCATATATTTCCAATAGAACAATACAAACTACGGATCAATTTACAGTGTTACGACTTCACTATTCTATTGTCTTGCATGCACTCAACAACATTTTTTTAGATCTGGGAGGTGCTAAAGGGTCTTTTGGTTACTGATAGGGCTTTAATTTTAACTCACTGAATGTAACTATTTTCAAATAAAGTTGAGCAAAACTGGGATACAAAAAATCTTAGGAATACAAAACCTATTAAGAGATTAATGTGAATTTGTGGAATGACTAATAATAATATCACAAATATATATGTACTGGTATATGTAAATATAAAGCCAGAAAATAAAGCAAGGCCAAGGACAATTTAGATTTATTACCCAGCAGTACAAACCATATTACCCCGGGCACGCGCCCAGGGGCCTGAACATACAAAATCGGGAAAAATTGGAGGTGGGCGCTTACCCGAGGACCACCCCAAAAAAAGATTTTAAAAAGTTGTTTTTGTGATCGTATGATAAGGTCAAATAAAGGAATGCTTTCGTACACTTTGTACACGAACTTATTTCTTGATTTATGCGAGGTTTCAATAAACGTGAGCACTCGGTCAAGAACTGTGGGAACACTAAGACACAGG